TCAACTCCCAGAATTCCCCAGCCAGCATGGCTGGCTGGAGAATTCTGGGAGTTGAAGTCCATCTATCTTAAAGTTGCCAAGGTTGGGAAACACTGCTGTAAAGCTTTTGCAGTATTTGAAGTAGCCCCGGAATGTTTGCATTAGCTCAACACAGCCCTGGAGACTCTCCACCTTTCACCCTTCAAAATATCTGCTCTGCTCTGTGCTTCTTCCAAGCCAAAAAAACAAGGAAGCCATCAAGTCTGCATTCATGTAGTTCCAAGCATAGTTACCAACACGGTCACTGTGTTTGTGTAATAGGTTCAGCTTAGCCGGTTTAATCTCAGCTAGTTTGGATGGTGGTTTAGTGTACTGTTGGAATCCAGTCTATCGGCATACAATATGTTTTTCTGCTTGATGCAAATGCAAAGAAAGTATTATTTATTTATTTCGTCATAGTTATATAGCTGCCCATCTCGCAAAACATGGCAATGGATTAAGGCAATGGCTGAGACAACTGGGTTGTGTGAAGAGAGTATATGGCAGGTGGAGGTCAAGAGGGCAGCTGCCTGGGCACTCATCCATCCCTCATGGTTATGTTGGAAATGAGAGCTTGAGACTGGGACCCCAAATTATTTAGCAGCTGTTTTTCAAACCAGAATGTAGGTGTTCCCACTGAACCATAAATGATGTTCTGCAGGGGTCAGTGTGTCTTAGTACTTTCCTTTGATACCAGCTCCATCTACAGTTATTCATTAGAGCACCGTTTCTCCACCTTGGCAGCTTGAAGATGGGTGGACTTCAACTCCCAGAATTCTGCTGGGAGGGGAATTCTGGGAGTTGAAGTCCACCCATCTTCAAGCTGCCAAGGTGGAGAAACACTGCATTAGAGTCTTCCCAAACTTGAGGCCCTCCAGATGAGCAGAAATCTTTCAGCCTGCATGCACTAGACAGGCTGTTTGGTTCCCAACTCACAAAACACTTAAAGGCACAGATGCAAGTCACACTGCTTGTGTGTGCATAACATCCTTAAGTAATCTGGTTATACTGAATACACCTATTTTCTGGGTTCACGTCATGTATTTCACCATAAATTAAACAAATGGCTTGGATTTACACACATTGCCTTACCAAAAAGCAGACAAACGTCTTCTAACCAAGTTACCCTCACCAAACTTAGCACACTGAATATACATGTCGGTTAGCACTTTTCTGATCTGGTTAGTGTGTGTTGATCTTCCTGGACCAATGTCAATCAGTAATCCATGAAGCAAGGCCTCCTTATTTTATATCACTTTGGAGAGATCTTGTCCCCTGGCCTGGGACATCATGGTCCCAACTAGGTTTTCTAAAGGGCTCCCCTTGAACTTTGCGTGAGGAATGATTCATAAGAAATGACACATTGGTGGTGTAGGCATGCTTTAGAGTGTTTGAATGTGATTGGAAGGTTTTTTTTCCCATGCTCAAGCATGGCAGGGGAGCCAAGTTACTCAGAGACTCTAGGAGAGAGAAACGCTGTCAGAACCTGCAGCAACTGAAGGAATAGTCGAAAGAGGACTGATTTATTGAGGGTAATAAATGCTGGGTTTGCTTGCTTTGATTCTGCCATTTGTAACAAGGGGGGGAGTGAAAGACGACAGAGCCGGTGCCATCTCGAAGGCCAGGAAGGAGAGGTGTTATCAGGGTGAGGAATCACAAGGCCATGACTTGGTGAGAAAGAAATCTGGTGCCAAAGAAGAAGGGGGAGAGAGGGGGTAAAAGTAGAGGGAAAGTTACACAGGCTTTAGTTTTAGCAATGCTTCGCTTAGAGCTGCACGTACTATTCAATAAAGGAGTTTTTATCTGAACCAGGCCTGGTTTCATGAGAATTCTTCTGGATTGG